GCGGGGCCGGCGGGCAGCGGGGTCGGGTCGCCGCCGTCGCCGGGCACCTTCTGGCTGACCCGCATCGTGCTGCTGCGATCCATAGCCCTGCTTTACTGTGAGTCTCCGGGCGCTGGCTGCCCCGCGCCTCTTTCTCTCTCCGCTGCCCGGGGAGCGGGGGGGGGGCCCGCCCGAGCCCCCGGGCTGCGGTGGGGCGACCGGGCTCGTCGCCACACCGAACCCCGTGAAGTCCCGGCGTTGCCCCGTCCCATCCCTCATGGCCTTTCCCCGCTGCAAAGCCTCAGGTGGGGCAGGCGGGAGCCCTGCCACGGGGAAGGGGTGAGCCCCCCCGGTGGGTGCTCGTCCTCCCGTGGGGTCCGTGCTGGTGCTGCGGTTCGAGGTCCCGCCGTGGAGGGAGATGGAGGCCCGTGACTGTCTTACGTATCCGTGGTGAATTTCGGTTTGCGGGACGGGGGGCTGAGGGGTGTTTTGCCCCAGCTCTGGGGGGCTGAGGGGTGTTTTGCCCCAGCTCCGGGGTGCAGACCCCATCCCGTCCCGGCAGGGCTGCAGCAGTTGCGCTGAGGAGCCCTGCCTGCCTTTTACCAAAGGACTGCTTCATTTTGGCTGTTGGGGCCACGTGGTTGCGTACCCAAAGCTTGAGGGGACGAGGGAGATGCGAAATGGGAAGCGCCTTTTGTTTTCGACTCTCGCGTTGCTGCTGGGACGGGGACCCTGGGGTTGGCGGCTGGGATGGAGTTGGGTGATGCTGGGGCTCCCGTGTTGGAGCTGGAAGGAGAGGTTGCTCGCGCCACGGGGCTGGTACCTGTCAGCAGAGCTGGTTGAGGCCGGTCCTTTTTTTTCAAGGTAGATGTTGTGAGCTAACTGCGCAAGAGAGGAACTCTTTATGCTACGCAGAAGCGGGTCTTTAGCATCTTACGTAGGACTGGAGAGAGATGACATCCTTGGGTGCCAACGCTGCCAGTCAGGACCTAGAATTGACGTGACCTTAAAATGGTTAACGGTGAAACCAGTTTCTAACCTCAGCTGTGCTCCTTTGGCTCTTGCTTTGGCAAGTAATGCTGAGAGCCGTGCTCAGAGCCCACTAGTGTTCCACTTAAAAAATATTCACAGTGAAACCTAAACTGACATATAACACACTACGTTACAAATTCTAAACTTGCCCCAGATTTGTCCACAAAATCGTTAGGATTTGTAGGCTGCCAGCCTGCTTAGATTATTTTGCATCAAAACCATGCAGAAGTTGTAGTTTTGTATGGTTTTGACACGTGCTCTGTTTCTAGTTTGGTTTCAGCTCTCGGTGAAATGCGGGGTTATGACTCTTTCAGTCAAAATGAAAGCGATTCCGATATTCCCCCGTGTGTAAATCCAGACTGCTGAGTTTCCCGTAGCTCGGTTTGCAGTTTCCTTATGAAAAACTGATTAGCGTTCTCTGCTGTGCGTTAGGTGGAGGCTGCCGTTTTCTGATCACGGCTTTGGGATTATAAATATGCCACATCTGGGACCAAATGGTGTCCCGTTGGGTGGTGGTGTGTTCGATGGAAAGGGAGCAGGTGGTGGCTGGATGGGTGGGAGTTGGTAAGGGGAGAGGAGTGCAAAGAGCGACTCAAACGTATGAGACCTTCTGGTGGCTGGGTGACCCGATTTGGGACAATGAGAGCGGTAAGAGGTGAGGAGCAAGTGTCCGATTCAGGGTCAGGTGAGTTTCAGTGTGGAAATGATTGAAACCTCTGGGCTGCAGGGAGAAAGGGAGAGTGAGGATGCGTAAGCCAGAGGATGAAGCTGAGATTGCATGCTGATGAGGGAAAGCAGGATGACAGAAAATAGGGAGAGGAACTGGATTCTGCACTTTTCCAAGTAGGAGAGGTGAATGGGAACAGTGGCAGTGGCAGAAGTGGGGAGGAGACACCAAAATGCTTCTGCAGTCCAGAGTGAGGAAACCTTTTTGAGAGAGGTAGCCTCAGAGGAAGGGTTTTGGGTACCAGAGCTGGAAGGAACAGGGTAGGAGGATGGTTCTGTCCTTTGAAATGGAAGAGCTGCAAGAGAGGAAAAGTTTACCTGCTCGTTATGCAACTTCTGCTTGGTTGCAATCAGGTAACAGTGATTCCTGCTGCTTGTTTTGATTGAGTAACAGGCAAACAACCCAAAGCCAGAAACCTGGGCCAGATTTGAGACAGGTCAAATTCTGACTCAGGCTGTCACTTGCAGCAGTGTTGAGGCCCCAGCTCTGATCCCGATGCAGGAGAGATGCTGTGCAGCCTACAACCGAAGCGTTTGTAGGGTGGAAACTAATTGGTGTCTCTGAGATGGAGAGATTGTGAACAGGCAGATTCCTCTGTCAAAGACTGCAAAACCATGACACGGCTGTTGGGATGGGATGCTCTCGAGGGAAGGTGAGTTGCCTTTTGATCTCTTCTGAGAGCCTGGGTTTAGAAACAGCAGAAAACAATTTAAAGCTTCTGTGCCAAGCTGCTCTTCCAAGCTCTTTTCTGAAGATGGAACCATTTACTCTGACAGATTATTTTTTTTCCCAGACACGGCGATTCTACACACGCCGAGTCTCAGACTTGCTGAGGAAACGGTTGATGCCGTTGTGACAGTTTGACATTCCTCAGTCGTGGGATGTTTTTCCCCCTTCTTTCATTTCACCCTTTTAAACGTAACCCTTTCATTCCTGCTGTGTTAAGCAACAAATCCTTGGGGGAGGACTTTGTGTTAAAGTATCAGGGAAGTGGTCGCTGCCTGATGATTGTAGCTCCTGCCTATTAGTGCAGCTGTGTGAGCTGAAAGCTTGTTCTCCCTCCTAGGTGGAGAGGGAGGGGTGGGAGAGGGAAGGACCCTGTGAATGGGGTAAAGAGAAACTTTATTTGGGCAGAATCACTAAGCGTGATCTGGGGACCTGTCACCTCCTTCCTGCCCCCCACTCCACTCTCGAGAGGCTGCTTAATTGCCTGATGTGAGCTGGGGAGATGCTTTCCCTTTGGATCTTCTCCTGCGGAAGGAGGACAGGCAGTGCAAGGCGGGTGTGAAGAGTCCTTCTGTGAGCCCTCCCTTCTCCTCCACCCCCTTTGGTTATAACTGCTCTCCTCTTCTTTTTTTGAAGGGAGTTTCCAGAAGGAGCCAGAGCCTGGGAAGTCCCTGGCAAAGCAGCTGTTGTCTGAGAGGCAGGTTAGAGATGAGGAGGTGGGAAAGAATCTGATGATTCGTGGAGGTCAGTGACCAAAGACACCTGCTGCTTGCAAGAATGGGAAGGAAGGGGAAAATGGATCCAAGCTGAAAGTGCTCAGTGAGGTTTGCTCTTTGCAGCAGGACTGGGCCAGTGGGGACCTCGTAGCTGAGCACTAAGGTAAATGAAATGCCTGTCTGTGTAATTCTGTTTTTAACAGTAGCTAGCACTGTGCGCTTGCAAATTCAGTGACACTTAAGTTCTTATAGCTGCCGTCCCTTAGAGGCATTTTCAGATCCGAGACCTCTTTTTCCACTTCACCAAGTCGGTGTGGGCAGAACAAGTGGTAAAACCCTTCTGGAGGAGGAGAGTGTGAAGTAACACAGAATCCAGCCCTGAACACTGAGGAAGAGAACAATTGTGTAGGTCTTATCCTGTGCTCTGCTGCCCAGACCCCTCTCTCTGTTTCTGTAGAGGCATCTTTATATGCTACTGGTGTGCCAATGGAAGAGACTTGTCTCACAGACTTCCACCATTGCATCGGCTAATTGCAAACTCTAATACAGTAATTCATGGGACAGGGAAGTTTGGAGAAATGCTGTTTTGAGATTTGAAAGTTTTCCGTCCTGGTCCTGCACTGTGTGTTTGTTCTTTATGGCAGGGATTGACATTTTGTCAATACAGAAAGTCTTTGAGGTCTTGTTGGAAGTGCTGTAACAGGTAAATAGCTGGTCCCAAAGCTCTTGACAACAGATGTGCATTATTTGCTCCCTTCACCCTCCCTCTAAATCATTGTTAAGTGCCCTTTTTGGATGATTACTATCATCAGATTCCAGATGTAGAAGTTTAAGTAATTAGATACCACGCTTCCCAATTTCAGCCAGGCTCTGTAGAGTGCTTTGAAATAAAAGCTATTATTTAAATCCAGTTTATCTTCCTTCTCCTTACGTATTGTTTAATAGTAGTATTTTCTTTCCCCAGAGCTAGAGCTACGGGAGGTTCATGCTACTTCTTCCTAATTCTGAAGTCCAAAGCCTTCTCGGGGGGGTTGGCTTCCTGTAGGTTCCTGGCTCACCCCGGTGTCCTTCCTCCTCTCTCTCTCTCTGTCATCTCCCCTGCTTTCCCCCTTCTCTTCCCTCAGTTATACTGAAAGGCTCCCAGTAGCTTTCAGCTTGCCTAGTCAGGATTATAGTACATCTTCTGATGCTTTTTCTCCCCTGAAAGGTTTTATTTCAGCGCAGCGCTTGTTAGCAAGTCTGTACAACAACGGCAGTATGTTAGCACGATGTCCTCTTAGCAAGCTACATGCCCCCTGTTTAACACTGCACGAAAGAGCCGCGTAAGCAAGACAGAATTGCATTTGGTCCTGAAGAAAGCACTTTCACTGTGGGAAGATAAATTCATAGCAAGCTGTGATAGTTTAAGGGAAGTGATAACAAGAACTGAGAAGGAAAGAATCTATCTCCCAGTCTGCTGCTTGCCTAGGGCTGGTTTGGAGGAGAGGGATCTTCTCAGGGCATCCTCCAGCTGCAGGCTGGACTGCCGCTGGTGTGGTTTTGAACAACCTGGGTCCTGTGGGGGAGCTTTTTAGCAGTGCCACAGCCCAGCCTTTTCTATTTGCTTTCGCATTATTTCAAACAAAGAAGCAATGGGGAGATAAGCACTTGAAAGCCTCCAAAGCAACCACCCCAAAGTCTTTAGCTTTGCTGTGAATGGCAATAAAACAAAAAAAGTGTTAAGAACAGACTACTTTGTTGTGTGTTTACTTGTGGCTGTAGGGCTGCAGGATGAAGAGGGGGTGTTTGCTTTCACTCTGGCTCTTTGCTCAGTACCACGGTGTTGTTCCTTCTGTGTTGCAAAACTTTGCAGGGGAATTTGTCAATTGAAAACTTATTTGATTCATTTCTCTGATAATAATGAAAATACCATGAATA